TGGGCCAGCTTTCTGGGGCCCCAGGTGGTGACCCAGCATTGCTTTCCCTCAAGTTCTAGAGATTTGCTAACGCAGGAGAAGAGAATTCAGGGAGTGCACTTGACAGGGAAAGGAAGGGCCAGTGAGAAGGAGTGACAATCTCAAGGTCACTGGGGAAGGAAGATGAAGAGCAGGACCAGGGAAGTCCTAGACACACAATGAAGCTCACCACTTAATGTCCTGGAACCAGCCTGGGCTTGGGGAGGGAACGTGAGTAAATCCTGAGCTGAATTTTGAGGCCCTGATGCAAACACCTTCCCCTCGCCAGCTCTTCCAGTGGCCTGTGGCGATGGCTACTTTACTTGGACATGGAGGCAGTCAGGGCCTGGGAGGGCAGCCAGCACCCTGCAATGGTTGGCTGATTGCAGTCCAAAGTAAAGACTCCAGATTTAATCAAACATCCACCTTTTAATGCAAGGGCACCAAAGACGCATCATCTCCCTCCTCCTTCATCTCCACTCAGGATACTGCAGAATCACTGGGACCCATCGTGGTAATTTTATCTACATCATATACTGTGTCCTTAGGACACTTGCTAGTCATTGCATTTGGAATAGTTTTGTCGTCTGAGCAACCACACACATTTTGGATGCATCACAACCTCTAGTCTCATTTCCCATGCTGTGCTGCTCCTTCTATGGTGTCCCCCAACCCCACAATAGGACAGCAGTTGCCATCCTCAGCTTTTTATTTACTTAATGTTAGTAATGGTATTCTTTTTTTATTGTATATTAAGTTCTGGAATACATGTGCAGAGATTGCAGGATTGTCATAGGTACACACATGCCATGGTGGTTTGCTGTCTCCATCCCTCTGTCACCTACATCAGGCATTTCTCTCAGTGTTATCCCTCCCCAACCTCCCCACCCCCACTATCCCTCCCCACCCCCCAACCCCCGAGAGACCCCAGTTTGTGACACTTCCCTCTCTGTGCCCGTGTGTTCTCATTGTTCAACGTCCGCCTATCAGTGAGAACATGTGATGTTTGGTTTTCTCTTCTGTGTCAGTTTGATGAGAATGATGGTTTCCAGGTTCATCCATGTCCGTACAAAGGACATGAACTTATTTTTATGGCTGCATAGTATTCTGTGGTGTATATGTGCCACATTTTCTTTGTCCCGTCTATCATTGATGGGAATTTGGGTTGGTTCTATGTCTTTGCTATTGTAAACATTGCTGTAATGAACATACATGTGCATATATCTTTATAATAGCTTGGTTTATAACCCTTTGGGTATGTACCAAGCAATGGGATTGCTGGGTCAAATGGTATTTCTATTTCTAGATCCTTCAGGAATCGCCACACTGTCTTCCACAATGGTTGAACTAATTTACACTCCCAAAAGCAGTGTAAAAGTGTTCCTATTTCTCCACATCCTCTTTAGCATCTGTTGCCTCCAGATTTTTTAATGATTGCCATTCTAACTGGCATGAGATGATATCTCACTGTGGTTTTGATTTGCATTTCTTTAATTACCAGTGATGA